TAAAAAATTACTTAAAATCCCCCCCCCCCCCCCCCAAAAAAAAAAAAATTTGTGTGTAAGTGTTTTCTATGTGTGCCAGAAAACAAGTAATTTTTTAATGAGTAATAACAAATAACTACAGAAATAATTATTGTTCATTTGCAATAAAAGCTGGGATTTGTATATAAAAAATGGCTATAAATTCACTTTAACTGGAAAGCAATGACATACGCTGCAAAGTATACACTTTGAAATTTGAATGAATATTATTCATATTAGTATTACTGATCTGTTTACAATTTTCAACCCATTCCTGATGCATCCAATACTAATACAAGTCCACAGTTTTGACGAATCCTCATTTTTGTTACACAGCTAGAACATGTAGGTCAGTAGATTTAGCAACAACAACAACATTCAATACATCTCTGTCAATCCAAGCCCATATGCCGTTTTTCCACTGAACACAAAAGAAGAATTTTGAAGAAGCTCTTTTGTACAACAACAGTGGCCACTTCTGTCACGCTCCAAAAAAAAACACCACAAAGGTATCCATACCACCATATGGGAAATAGCTAAATTCACCTTCTATTAAATGGAAAAGTTTGGAATGACATGAGGATGAGAAAAAGTGTAAACTACTCATTTAACCAGCACCCCCATTAAGCCATGAGGTTGATTTTCATATAACTGAATTTCTGCAAACTTTTTTTTTTCTCATGGGAATTTTAGGTGTCCTTCTAAAAATGACACAGGATAATCAAGTAAGGAGTCCATATAATTAAAACCTATACTATGCATTGCACACCAAAATATACATGATAAAAAACATTCCAGAACTTAATATTCCAACTAAAAAAAAAAGTCATATGTACTTTAATGTGTACATACAGTGAAACAGATATTTAGTAATTATTTATTTACTTATGTTTAATTACTACAAACATGCCTTGCAATTGCCAGACAATATAATTGCGCTATAATAAACCGATTTGTATTCTGGATCATGACTCTGGAGTGCAAGAAACAGAATTATTATTATTGTTCTTCATTTTTTAATGTTAAGTTGTGATACTATAAAGGTTCTTTGAATATGGGAATGAGATTTGAGAACACTTAATAACTTAAAATTTGCTCCGTTTCATAAAACTATGACTTCATAAAAATCTTGAGTATGAAGCCCACATGTCTTCAATATAAAGATTGGCATGAAAAATCTGCATAAAACCTCCTTCATATTCATGACTTGTCATGATTATGAAGGTGTCATGTCAGTCTTATGCACACCCCTTCAAGTAAAGTGTTACCCATAATTTCATGGTTAAAATAATGTTAGTCCTATAATCAACAGCAATTGACAGATCATCACTGAGGAATCGTTAAAAAAACAGGCGACACCAACAGCCTTATTTATTAATATAGGACAATAACATCTATGAATTATCAGAGAGATCAGATGAAATCAAATACCTGGATGCCATTTCAAGGCTAATTTCCTATAAGCCTTTTTCAGGTCGTCGTCTGATGCGTCTCTTTTAACGCCCAACACCTCATAGTGACACTTCATCCTGGTCTGGGCTTGATGGAGATCCTACAGAAACTGAAAAGGCTGTGTTTTGAAAGCAACTGTCATTAACTAATGTTACAGTACACACGAAATATCATCAATGTGCCCACGTGGGTCACAAAACTAAAACTACAACAGCGCTAACCTAATATTACACTAAATATAATACATACAATGCTATAATTAAGCAACTAATCGCGTTTATTCATCAACTTCTTGAACAGTTGACATTTTCAATCGATAGAAGAATCGGCGCGAAGCCGGTGTCGTGTGTGTGTGTGTGTGTAGCGGCGGCGCATGAAATTGATGTCACACACGAAACGCGCACTGCTATTGGCTGAGAGTTGTAGCTTATGAGTATGCACTTCTATATCCTCCTGAGACCCAGCTATGGAGTTTTTGCCTCTGTAGTGGACATTATATTTGAGTGAATTTCTCTGAGACGTTATATGTCACAGTTTTAAGTCTGGATGTCCTGTACAGAGCACATTCAGTGCTTTCCACAGATACCAAATGATTGGATGTTTCACCGTGACCACTCCCTCTCCTTGGTTTTTAAAAATGGCTGACATTAATTTAGTGATACAATTGTACATCCTTATTGAAATATGATAATATTTTGTAATTATAATTTATATCTGATTAATTTTCAAATTGTTTGTCATAAATCAACATCTCGGGAAAATGTTATGGGGTTTCAAATCAAAATATGACTTCCTGTTATGAAACAGGACATAATTTCATATTTTTAATCCATACATAATTAATAGCAAATATAACTCAGATTCTTACAGTAAAAAAACCCCCCGTAAAATGAATTAAAATTGTGAGCAGGATACGTGAAGCTGTTTTAAATTTAAAATATTGTTTTTTTGTTTGTTCGTTTTTTGTTTTAACCAAGAAATGTGTCTGACCATAGGACATAACTTTTATTGCAATAGCAAATGTTTTTCAACAGCAATAATAAGTAATTAATAACAATAATAATACATGTGTAAGGTATCAAAATATGATAGATCCTATACATAATATCCAATTTTGTAAAAGTGAAAAGTTGTTAGCAGAGGATGGTTTCGATCCATCGACCTCTGGGTTATGGGCCCCTCTGCTAGGCGGTACATCACAGGTGCGTTTTGGGGTCTTGAAAAAAAGAAAAATTTCCATTGCTCTTATTTAATTGTTTTAAGCTATTAATTATTCATAAACGCCGACAACCACATAAAACACTATGCTCATGCTGAAATTCCTTGGAAAGAAAATAAATACTGTGAAGCTATTCCACTACACATATGGTTTTGCTTATATGTGTGTTTGTTAGGGAGATATTCAGTGTTCCTCAACGGCCCCGTTTAAATTAACAGGACAAAAAAAAATCGCATTTAAAAGAATTAGGTCGAATTCCACAAAAATGTGACTTCGTTTTGAAGTGTCTTTTTTTTTGTCATTTCATCCAAATTTACTAACTTAGTTCAGTATAGACTTCAATGCTGCAGTGTCTTGATCTGATGATTTACATTTCAGAATGTCTGCCTTATCTTAATGACCAAACAACCCCCTCCCAGACCAATTTCCTCTGTAAATACCCCTGCTTATCTAAATTAGCATGTTTATCTGCAAATCAGCCTGTATGACAAACTATCCTACAATCTGAGATGATAAACCTAAAGCAAGGAGGTAGGTGGGTGTGGGTGGGTGTGTGTGTGTGTGTACTGGTTTATATATTCTGGTGGGGACTTAAACCTGACTACACACAGACTCATGGGGACTCGTGTCACGGTGGGATCTAAATTGTGGTCCCCACGGGTACAAAAGCTTATAAATCATACAGAATTAAGTTTTTTGAAAATCTAAAAATGCAGAAAGTTTCCTGTAAGGGGTAGGTTTAGGGGTAGGGTTGGTGTAGGGCAATAGAATATATGGTCTGTACAGTAGAAAAACCATTACGCCTATGGAGAGTCCCCACAAGGATAGCTGACCAGACTCTGTCTCTGTCTGTCTCTCTGTGTGTGTGTGTGTGTGTGTGTGGGTCAAGCGTCTGTTGAACATGGTACTTGAGACATGAGTGTGTCAGTGATTGTTTTGACTAAGCTGGGGGCTAAAATGCAGACATGCCTGCAGGCAGAGCAGTTCCTGTTGTTCTGGCTACTGCTGTCACAGGAAACGTTTTAAAAAGGAGAATGTCGCCGCTGGAAGGACTTTTCAAAAGAAAGAATGTTGTTTGTTTATGAGCTAAAAAAAAGTTTGTATGATTCTGAACTTTATTCAGTCAGTGTGTTCCTGATAAGAGAAACCTTTTGGATTTCTTTCCTGACTTTCAAACAGCATTTGATTTGATTTGATGTTAAACTCGTAGCTGTTTTTAAACCAAGGCCTCATTAAATTATTCAAACCATGTCCTAATTTCATCATGTGTAGTTCAGATCTGTATTACATTATTTCGCTTTATCCACTTCAGGTAATCAGATATTTCAAATTGAATTTGAATAATGGATTCAAGCCCATATTAAACAGAGATAGAAAGTGCCAGATGCCTTACAAAGGTGCTAGTCTAAACACGGAAGTCTGAAAAATCAGGACTCTGCATCTTCGTTGCCTTCCTGTCTCTGTCATTTCCTCCGTTTTTTTTTAAATATAATATAGTATGTAATAGTATGTGTATCTATAATAAAGCATAATGTTTTATGCTCTATACAGTACATTTAAGAGGTGAATAGGGTAAAAAATGTAACTAATAATTATCACTGTACTTTCCCCAGATTATTACAGTACAAGACAATCGTTTTCTGATATCCTGTGTTTAAATATTACAATCTAATTTGCATCAGTTTCCAGGACAGAAATCTGAACATTTGATTCTTGTTGCTATTTTAGAGTTAGAGGATTTAGATTTCTCTTTTGGTCACTCCGTAAATCAGAAAATAGTCAACAGCCAAAAAAAATAAATTAAAACATTAGGAATAAAATGTTTTATGAATCAGGTCAAACAATATATGAACAAACCACTCGGTGGGCAAAGCTCAACCCCGCATCGCTATGATATTATGGGTTAGTTCATCCTCCACACAGCTTAATGTAAAACAGTCTGATCTCTCTCCCTTTAACCAGTGTTTGTGGTCTCTCAGGTAGGAAATGAAGTGGATGAGTACCGCAGAGCTGAGTGTGCCAGTCATTTACCAGCAATCAGGGCCTTCTTTAAGGTAAAAGACGACAGGGATTATGGGATGGCTTTAACTGTACTCTGATAAACTCAAAGCAACATAATTGTCATTCTTGTTTTGTGAATACATGAGCATGCAGAGATCTTAAATTCAGGTTTTTTTTCTTTTAGACATCTTGTTAGTTGGGCAGAGTTTTTTTTTAAATAAAATAAAAATATAAAGACATAAAAACAAGGAAAAGCTTCTTTTGTCTGTTGCTATCTTATGTCTTTCTGATGCTTCAGGAAGTTCACATCTTTCTTCCTGCCCACACTTTGGATGAAATCACAGAGGAGAGGATCTGTACACTGGCCTATAAAGCTGCAGTGGTGACGCAGGGGCCGAGAGGGAGACCTGGCCGCCGGACAGAAGACAGACAGGCCATTGTGGTATGAGATCATGACCGTTTCTTACTACAAGGCTTTATTAATACTAAATTATGAAGTTGTTTTGAGAAGTACAGTAAAGCCAGTCAGACAATTAAGCTCTATAAAAATCAGGAAAATGGTAAACAAATCAAACTGTCTCCTTACTATTTCCAGGGCACTAATTACAAGCGAACAATCGCAGCTGCAGAGATCCAGAGAATCCAGAGAGATTCTTTTTGGGCACAAGCGGAGGTACGGAGTGAGTTTTTGTTTCCTTTTTTGTTGTTGTCTATTATTCTTTTTTAGAGTTGATATTATCAAGTATGAATGTTACGGTATATATGTGACCCTGGAGCACAAATCCAGTCTCAAGTCGCTGGGGTATATTTGTAGCAATAGCCACCAATACATTGTATGGGTCAAAATTATCGATTTTTTTTTTATGACAAAAATCATTAGGATATCAAGTACATTTTTTAATTTTGTAAATTTCTCACCATAAATACATCAAAACTTAATTTTTGATTAGTAATATGCATTTGGACAAATTTAAAGGCAATTTTCTCAATATTTAGATTTTGTTGTACCCTCAAGTTTCCAGATTTTCAAATAGTTGTATCTCGGCCAAATATTGTACTATCCTAACAAACCATACATCAATGAGAAGATGATGTAAAAGGAAAAAAAATAGAAAAATTAAATATTGTATATAATTGGTTTTGTAGTCCAGGATCACGTAGGTAACAGAATAAATCACATGCTGCTGTCATTTACCACTACACCTCAAAAAATAAAATAAAATAAAAATGTGTTATATTTCTCAATTACTTTAACATTTTATTAATATTATTATTATTAATAATAATTATTAACACATGGCATGACATAAAATTTATTATGATCTTACTATAGAATAGTTACTATAGAATTTGAACTTAGCACAGCAACATTAACTTGATTTTTCTCTAAAAATTTTAAAATGTCACAAACAATACAAAAACAGACAGAGGTTAGTTTCTTATTGTATTTTACAGAGAGAAGAGGAGGAAAGGAAAAAGGAGGAACAGCGGAGGGCAGCAGAGGACAGGAGGCAGAGAGAGAAGGAACAATTGCTTCAGGAAAGGAGAGATGCAATAGAGAGAGAGAGGAGGATGAATGAAAAAGAACAGAAAATAAAGGAGCAGAGGTCAGTCAAACATTCTCATGCATGCATGCAAAAAGTTCCCAAGGGTCAAAAGTGAACTTTTTTTTTTAAATAGGAGAAGACAAGCGCAAATGGAGGCAGAGGCCCAGAAACGGGAGAACATAAAATGGGTATGATTAAATTGTTTCTATGTGTGCTTGCATGTATATATTCGTAATTTATATTATATCACAGGAGCACGAGGAAAGGGAGCGTGAAGAAGAGGAAATTAGAGCTCGATATTCATGCTCTCAATCAGAGGAAAACGCTGCGGTTAGTTCTGTCAATTAAACCTGCACTAAACCCACTCTTGTAAATATGTGCCCTGCGATCTTCATGCTGTGATGTAAGACTGTTTATGGCCATCAGGAGGCAGCAACTCTGGTGTCGCAGCGTGCTGTAAACCCCAGAGAGTTTTTCAGACAACTGTCCTTCTCAAGTGTCCACACAGCCTCCAGTCCCAGCTCCACATCTCCAGGTAAAGTGTAACACACTGAGAACCAGCATGTGTTTCCATTGACTGAAACGGCCACATAATCTTCCCACAAACAAATATTTTATGCGTTACATTTGAGAACTTATATTAAAATCCAACGTAATTTATTTGTGCATTTTTATGGCATCCGTGTAAAGGCCATACATTTTCAATTTGTTAGCATTTACCACAGTTGCTGTATTAGCTATTATAAAATGACAATGAGCAATAGGCTACATTAACAGCATTATCTAGGTTAATGTTTCAGAAGGATCTTGTGACACTGAAGCCTGGATTGATGATGCAACAAAAAAATTCAGCTTTGCATCGCAGGAATAAATGACACATTAAAATATATTAAAATAGAAAACAGTTATTTTCAATTGTAATAGTATTTCAGAATATTACTGTTTTACTGTACTTTTTTGATCAAATAAATAGAGCCTTGGTGAATTTTTTTAAATAGTAAAATAAATAAATATAAAAAAATCATACTTAACCCAGACTTTTGAACCGTAGTATAGATTAACATGAAATCTAATGAACATCAACCTAGAATAATGCTGTAAAAAATGTTCATGCATTAAGTAATGTTAGCAACTAAAACGTATTGGGATCTGTTGTCAGTTATGTAAATATATAGTGAATAGAAGTCACAGTAATCAGTTCATACATTTGATTTTTTAATAAAATGTTTTCATATCAGATGGCGTGAGCAGATGTTTAACATCAAAAAAATAAACAGCGTGTATAACAAATCTGTCTACACATCAAGGGACAGTAATGTGACGCAAATTACTGCCACTTGACGTGTAGACAGATTTGTTGATTATAATGGCAGTAGACTAGTTTTGTTTTGTAACCGCACTTTTCATATTTTAGTAGCCTACAGTTTGTTTCAAAATCTCTTTCTCTTTTTGTGTAGTCAGGAGTCCCTATAGACGACTGCATCGCAGTCAGACGGACAATATCTTCAGTTTCAATGAATCACCTTCTTCTACACCTACATCTCCATACAGATCATCAATGGTATCACCTTACTTTCCATCGACTCCCACATCCCGGAGCCCAATCCTTTTCACTAGCACTATAGCTTCCTCGCTTCAGAATGGTGCAGTGGTATCTACCAAAAGCCAGATCCAGCTATCTTCACCTAAGACGATGGAGCCACGGCTCCAAACTCAACCATCACCTACAATCGATGCAACTGCATCTGAAATCAAAACTCCTATCAGTGATATACTAGACAGTCTGGTCTTTTATCCACCTCTACCAACCCCTGAGCAGCTCCAACCAGATGAATCAGAGACAGTGGATGAGTTTCCTCCACCTCCCCCTGGTTTTGAGAATTCACCTGAACGGTCTGTGGACCAGCCTGAAACACTTGACGACCCCTTAGACCCTATTCTTCCTCCATCATGTGTTTTGGTACCTGAGCCACCCACCAGGCCACTTCCTGCTCTGCCCGTTGCTCCACGAATGCTGAAAGACCTGGAAGCGGAGAGGGATTTTACTGCTCGGGCATTGGCAATATCTACGGTTGAGGAGGAGGAGGATGAAGGGAATGGAGAAAAAGAGATGAAATATGAGGGGAAAGATGCAGTAGGGAAGGGAGGTGGAGAACAGAGAGTTGAAACGGGAGAGAAGAAGAACAGAGGACAGGAGGAACATGATGGCATGACTATGGAAAAACACGAAAGTGAAAAAGAATCAAATGGTAAAATGATGGAGAGATATGAGAGTGGAAAAGATGGGAAAATGTTGGAAGAATGTGAGAGCGAAGAAAAACAAGATGGAAACATGGAAGAACATGATAGTGAAGAAGATAAAGTTGGGAAAATTGTGGAAGAATTTGAGAGTGGCAAAATTATGGAGGAACAAGAGAGTGAAAAAATAAGGTTAGAATGTGTGCCAGAAAAAGAGCAGGATAGGGAAATTACAGAAAAACATGAGGAAGATCGAAAATATCTGGAAGAACAGGAAAATGAAAAAAACATGGAAGAATATAAGCAAGATGGGAATGTTGTGGAAGCATTTGACAGTAAAAAGGAACAAGACAAGAAAAACATGGAAGTATTTGTGACTGAAAAAACACAATGTGGGAAAATGATGGATGAACGTGGGCAAGAAAACAAGCAAGATGGGAAAATCGTAGAAAAATGTGAGGAAGAACATGACAGTGAAAAGGAAAAACTGGGGAAATGTATGGAAGAACTTGAGGTTGAAAAAATACAAGATGCAAAAATGATGTTACAGTATATAAGAGAAGACAAGCAAGATGCGAAAGTTGCGGATACATTAGACAATGAAAAAGAACAAGACAAGAAAAGCCTGGAAGTATCTAAAACTGAAAAAACACAATATGCAAAAATGATGGAAGAATGTGAGCAAGAACATGAGCAAGATGGGAAAATTGTAGAAAAAGATGAGGGAGAACATGAGAGTGAAAAGGAACAAGCTGGGGAAATGATGAAAGAACAGGAGGTTGACAAAATACAAGATGGGAACATCATGGAAGAACATGAAAGTGAAAGGCAAGAAAATGAGGAAGGTGGGAAAACTGCAGAAAAATGTGAAGAATATAAGAGTGCAAAAGAAATTGATGGAAAAATTATGGAAGAACATGGAAGCAAAGAAAAACAAGATGGGAAAATTATGGATGCATTTGACAGTGATAAAGAACAAGATGGGACAAACATGGAAGTATTTGAGACTGAAAAATTACAATATGCAACAAGGATGGAAGAATGTGGGCAAGAAAATGAGCAAGATGGGAAAACTGTAGAAAAACATAGTAAAAATCTGGAAGAACATGAAAGTGAAAAAGAAGAAGGTTGGAAAGTTGTGGAAGTATTTGTGACTGAAAAAACACAATGTGGGAAAATTATGGATGAGCGTGGGCAAGAAAATGAGCAAGGTGGGAAAATCGTAGAAAAATGTGAGGAAGAACATGAAAGTGAAAGGCAAGAAAATGAGGAAGGTGGGAAAACTGCAGAAAAATGTGAAGAAGAATATAAGAGTGCAAAAGAAATTGATGGAAAAATGATGGAAGATCATGGAAGCAAAGAAAAACGAGATGGGAAAATTATGGATGAGCGTGGGCAAGAAAATGAGCAAGGTGGGAAAATCGTAGAAAAATGTGAGGAAGAACATGAAAGTGAAAGGCAAGAAAATGAGGAAGGTGGGAAAACTGCAGAAAAATGTGAAGAAGAATATAAGAGTGCAAAAGAAATTGATGGAAAAATGATGGAAGATCATGGAAGCAAAGAAAAACGAGATGGGAAAATTATGGATGCATTGGACAGTGATAAAGAACAAGATGGGACAAACATGGAAGTATTTGAGACTGAAAAATTACAATATGCAACAAGGATGGAAGAATGTGGGCAAGAAAATGAGCAAGATGGGAAAACTGTAGAAAAACATAGTAAAAATCTGGAAGAACATGAAAGTGAAAAAGAAGATTGGAAAGTTGTGGAAGTATTTGAGATGGAAAAAATACAATATGTGAAAATGATGGAAGAATGTGGGCAAGAAAATGAGCAAGATGGGAAAACTGTAGAAAAACATAGTAAAAATCTGGAAGAACATGAAAGTGAAAAAGAAGATTGGAAAGTTGTGGAAGTATTTGAGATGGAAAAAATACAATATGTGAAAATGATGGAAGAATGTGGGCAAGAAAATGAGCAAGATGGGAAAACTGTAGAAAAACATAGTAAAAATCTGGAAGAACATGAAAGTGAAAAAGAAGATTGGAAAGTTGTGGAAGTATTTGAGATGGAAAAAATACAATATGTGAAAATGATGGAAGAATGTGGGCAAGAAAATGAGCAAGATGGGAAAACTGTAGAAAAACATAGTAAAAATCTGGAAGAACATGAAAGTGAAAAAGAAGATTGGAAAGTTGTGGAAGTATTTGAGATGGAAAAAATACAATATGTGAAAATGATGGAAGAATGTGGGCAAGAAAATGAGCAAGATGGGAAAACTGTAGAAAAACATAGTAAAAATCTGGAAGAACATGAAAGTGAAAAAGAAGATTGGAAAGTTGTGGAAGTATTTGAGATGGAAAAAATACAATATGTGAAAATGATGGAAGAATGTGGGCAAGAAAATGAGCAAGATGGGAAAACTGTAGAAAAACATAGTAAAAATCTGGAAGAACATGAAAGTGAAAAAGAAGATTGGAAAGTTGTGGAAGTATTTGAGATGGAAAAAATACAATATGTGAAAATGATGGAAGAATGTGGGCAAGAAAATGAGCAAGATGGGAAAACTGTAGAAAAACATAGTAAAAATCTGGAAGAACATGAAAGTGAAAAAGAAGATTGGAAAGTTGTGGAAGTATTTGAGATGGAAAAAATACAATATGTGAAAATGATGGAAGAATGTGGGCAAGAAAATGAGCAAGATGGGAAAACTGTAGAAAAACATAGTAAAAATCTGGAAGAACATGAAAGTGAAAAAGAAGATTGGAAAGTTGTGGAAGTATTTGAGATGGAAAAAATACAATATGTGAAAATGATGGAAGAATGTGGGCAAGAAAATGAGCAAGATGGGAAAACTGTAGAAAAACATAGTAAAAATCTGGAAGAACATGAAAGTGAAAAAGAAGATTGGAAAGTTGTGGAAGTATTTGAGATGGAAAAAATACAATATGTGAAAATGATGGAAGAATGTGGGCAAGAAAATGAGCAAGATGGGAAAACTGTAGAAAAACATAGTAAAAATCTGGAAGAACATGAAAGTGAAAAAGAAGATTGGAAAGTTGTGGAAGTATTTGAGATGGAAAAAATACAATATGTGAAAATGATGGAAGAATGTGGGCAAGAAAATGAGCAAGATGGGAAAACTGTAGAAAAACATAGTAAAAATCTGGAAGAACATGAAAGTGAAAAAGAAGATTGGAAAGTTGTGGAAGTATTTGAGATGGAAAAAATACAATATGTGAAAATGATGGAAGAATGTGGGCAAGAAAATGAGCAAGATGGGAAAACTGTAGAAAATCATGAACACGGGAAAAGTTCGGCAGAACATGAAAACGAAAATCAACAGAACTGCAAAATGATAGAAGACTGTGGGATTGAAAAAATACAATATGGGAACATCATGGAGGAACATGAAAGTGAAAACAAACAAGATGGGATGATTGAAAACCAACAGGACATACAGAACCAAGATAAGGAACGAATGTCACATGTGGATGTAGATAAAGCAGTGAACGTGACTGTGCTCAGGAAGGAGCAATCATACACAGAGATTATAAAGAGGGATGGGACAACAGAAGTACGTTTCAAAAATGAGAAGAAACCTTTAATCCAGACAGAGGAGGCTGACACAGTTTTTTCCCAGCATGCACTCTTTCCAGAATCGCATGCTACAGAGCCATCTCCAGTTAATGAAGCATGTATTCCTGAAAGTATTTCAACCACTCAAGATAAAAACGAGTTACAGATGTGCTCAACTCGTACCTCATCTCAAATAAACTTACCAACCATTCAGGTCGAGTCAGATCTTTCTAGTTTGAGCAATCAAAGCGATTCAGACATAAAAGAGAAGACTGAATCTATTGACTCTCAAGCTTCCTCAGAGATCTCCAAGAACAGCCCAGATGCCACATCAGCAGAACAGACTCCTGCAGTGAAGGATGAACAACAGACAGATGCAGAAATGCTTCAAGAGGATAAGATTGTGGACGGCAGCAATGATTTGGCTGAGGGGATTGATGCTGAGTCCAAGACATCACCTTTATCTGAGAATCAAGCCAGGACTGGACAATCAGATGAGGGGGAGGGGCTTGTACCTGTCAGTCATTTCCCCGAAGACACAGGTAATGATAACGGTGTCACTGATAGACAGTTCTTTAAGCAACATCTTAATATCAAGCAAGTTACATTACAGAACATCAAAGTATCGGTCAAACAATGCACAGACTGAACACAAAGAATTTAAATGTTTTTAAAAAACTTAAAACTATAATTGATGTCTTATTTAATGCACACTACCACTATGCAAAAGTTTGGGGTCAGTAATTATATTTTTATTCAGCAAGAATAAATGCCATTGTCCATCACAATAATAAACTACATTTACATTTTAAATTTATTACAATATAAAAAACTATTACTATTTCACAATAATACAGTTTTACTGTATTTTTAAGCAAATATTTATTGTATTTTTAAGCAAATAAATGCAGCCTTGGTGAGCATAAGAGACTTATTTTTAAAACAAAAAAGTTTTAAAATCTTACTGACCCCAAATGTTTGAATGATGTTTGAATAAATACTCTAGTTCAGTGAAATAATTTCTAGAATTTAATTTTTTCCCCCCCCCAAATTTTTTTTGACAGGCAACATCTTTTAACATGATTATTGACTATAGTTTTGAATAGAAAGATAATTTTATTATTCTAATAATTTCATTAGTTTTTATATTAGAAAATATAATTTTATTTTATTAGAAAGCTGAGACGTTTTCTTTTAACTTAAGTGCATTAATCTCAAAATGTGGTTTTGTTAAAGTTACTAATATACAGGTGCATCTCAATAAATTAGAATGTCATGAAAAAGTTAATTTATTTCAGTAATTCAACTCAAATTGTGAAACTCGTGTATTAAATAAATTCAATGCACACAGACTGAAGAAGTTTAAGTCTTTGGTTCTTTTAATTGTGATGATTTTGGCTCACATTTAACAAAAAACCCACCAATTCACTATCTCAACCAATTAGAATATGATGACATGCCAATCAGCTAATCAACTCAAACAAACTCACCAGACCTGAAGACTCTATTGTCAACAGGAAAATGAGAAACAAGAGACCAAAAAATGCAGATGAGCTGAAGGCCACTGTCAAAGAAACTTGGGCTTCCATACCACCTCAGCAGTGCCACAAACTGATCACCTCCATGCCACGCCGAATTGAGGCAGTAATTAAAGCAAAAGGAGTCCCTACCAAGTATTGAGTACATGTACAGTAAATGAACATACTTTCCAGAAGGCCAACAATTCACTAAAAATGTTTTTTTTATTGGTCTTATGAAGTATTCTAATTTGTTGAGAAAAATGTGGGTTTTTGTTAAATGTGAGCCAAAATCATCACAATTAAAAGAACCAAAGACTTAAACTACTTCAGTCTGTGTGCATTGAATTTATTTAATACACGAGTTTAACAATTTGAGTTGAAAAACTGAAATAACTTTTCCATGACATTCTAATTTATTGAGATGCACCTGTAATACTACAAGTGACATAATAATACAAAAAAATCAATAATGCATAAAAAGAATTTAAAAAAAATTATATTTAAATAAAAATAACAAAATACAGTGTCACACTGGATTAGAAATATGTTTGATCAAAAATGATTTTTCAATTAAGCCGTGTGATTGCTATTGAGTGAAAAAAATCTCTTTTTTGTAACAGATTCTGCAGTGGACCTAAAATATTGTATTACTCATCAGCTGGATCCGACTAATGACATAAGTGATGTTGAAGAGGGAGAAGAGGCTATATCACTCCTAGCCAGTGACACAGATGTGGAGCAAAACTTAAAATGTGATTCTGACTCTGATCAAGTAAATAAAGACATTGAACATGAAATTCTGCAGAACTGCGAAACCATCGCGGAAACACCCAACGACAGGAGGAATGATAAGACAGCCGAAGAAAAATGAAGAACATAATTGGTAGGTGTGAACTTTTATCTCAGAACAGATCATTCTGTTAAAGAATGCAATGCTTCTGGTTTTGATTGCCATTAATTATAAAAAAACCCACACATAAGGAGTGGAAGGGTAATTCAGGGCTAACCACACATTTGTTGTCCTCTTCACCCCAGGTCGGGTTGCTTTTTGTGAAATCCTACAATGCAATATAACTGCTATACATAATTACCCCAATTTAGAGAAAATCTCATCATGATAATTATATTAGTAAATCTCAAAAGTGCGTTTGCTGGAAAGAAATATTACACTGTGATTTTCTACCAAATTCGATCTAGTATAAACACCTCAACCTTTAATGATCTCATATTAAGCATACAGAAAAAGTAAACTTGTGCAGTGACCCATGCACAGCAAAGGATTATGGGATAGATAAGCCATCAGTCAGAAACAGACAGACAGACAGGAGACATGTTTATCAGGTACACCGAGTGCAAATGCTGTTAACTGTAACAACAGTATCCTTATCTCTCTTCACATCGTACATTCTTCTGACAGAAATATCAGATAAGCTGCAGCAAGTGCAAAGACATACCAGATTTCTGCCGTTGTCGTTTAGTGCTATGTATGCAGAGCTAGAAAAAAAAGTTACTTTAAAGGAATAGTTCACCCAAAAATGAAAATTGCTGAAAATATACTCACCCTCAGGCCATCTAAGATGTAGATGAGTTTGTTTCTTCCTCTGAACAGATTTGGAGAAATTTAGCATTGCATCACTTGCTCAGCAATGGATCATTTTCAGTGAATGGGTGCCATCAGAATGAGAGTCCAAACAGCTGATAAAAACATCACAATAATCCACAAGTAATGAAGAAGACCCCAGTCCATCAACTAACATCTTGTGAAGTGAAAAACTGCATGTTTGTAAAAAAAATAAATCCATCATTAAGGTGTTTTAACTTTAAACTGTTGCTTCTGGCCAAAATATGAGTTTATAATCCATAATAAAGCTTCCTACAATGACAAAGTCCGTCACCTTTTGTCCTCTCACATCAAAATCCACTGATACATACTGTAGCACTGTTTGGACTGTTTTTGCTTGTAAAATGTGCTTGATCTGTGCATGTTTCTCTCCTGATTCAGATGAGACACCCTTTTCACTGAAGAAAGAAAAATTATGGATAGAGGACTTGTATTTATTGCAAAAACGCAGCTATTCACTTTACAAGATTAATAATTGATGGACTGGAGTCATGTGAATACAGTGTACATGTTGCTACAGTGCAAATCATGGTTATTATTGTTATATATATATATATATATATATATATATATATATATATATATATATATATATATATATATATTTCTATTAGTTGCCAGGGCAACATTTAAAATTTTTGTTTAGGTTAGCGAAGTATAAAAATAATTGAATAAACTAAAACTAAAAACTGAACAAAAACTACAGTTTATAAACAAATTAAAATAATGAAAATGACAAAAACACAGCAAAATTACTAAAACTTTAACTAAAATTACCAGAAAATGTAATTCTAAATAGGAATAAGAAATATAATAGTATATCAATGACACTAGAATAACACTGATCTAGACAAAACACACATTTGAGTAATTGAAATCAAAACCTCAACTAGCCCTGGTCTCCTTACCTTTATAAAATAGTATAAAATGGGCCCCTGAAATTGATACAAACAGGTATATCTAGATTTTTTTTGTTTGTTTTGTTTTGTTTTCTGTGTACATTGATGGATTGCTTACCAAAGCATAACTGTTAGGGTTATTCATACAGTACCATGTTTACCTAAGTGCATGCAATCTCAGACTGGAAAGAGACGTTACGGTTGTGGCATGTGGGGAAGGCCACACCTTTGATGAGACCTGGACCAGATCCAAATTTGCATTCCCATCCCATTCTATAAGCAGACAACAATGTTTAATACAAACTAGCGGTGGGCGAAATGGCAAAAATATCGTATCACAATTTTTTTCAGCAATATAACGATTTTTTCATGATTCTTTGACATGCTGGTTTTACTATTTTTCAAGTTGTATGCGTAGTAAAGCCAAACTAATTTCCAGATTTTAAAAACAAAGCCTTACAAGGTTACAAAATATATCTAAAAAAGAGTGGCAGATATTTAGGCCAAAGTGGGCGTAGATAAAACTCTTTGTCATTATTTTATCTTTGTTATTAAAAAATAAGAACACATTACAACACATTACAAATACACAAAATATAGAAAACGAACAATGCTTTATTTCTCAGGTACAGTAGGTGTATTTAGAATTCAAGAAATTGGCTCAACAAATATAAAAATAAAACACTAAATACATCAATTATACATGATCAATTATAAATATAAAGCAACTGTATTAAAGTTCTTGTGTTTTGTTGTTTTATTAACATTAAAAGGGATAGTTCACCCACAAATTAATTCATTTACTCACTCTCAAGTTGTTGTTGTTTAACCTGAGTGAGTTTCTTTCTTCTGTTGAACATAAATGTTATTTTGACAAATGTGGGTATAATCAAACAGTTGCTGGTCCCCAGTGACTTCCATAGTAATTTTTTTCCTATTATCAAATTAAATGTGGACCAGCTTCTGTTTTGGTTACCCACATTCTTTAAAATATCCTCTTTTGTGTTCAACACAAGAAATAAATGAATACAGGTTTGGGACAATGTGTGAGTGAGTAAATAATAACAGAAATTTAATTGTTGGGTGAACTATCATTTTAATGACAGTCGGCAGCATGTTTAGTACTGTCCCTTTAAGAGCTGAACGCATCCGTTTTTCTCTCAACGGTTTACTTAACCAACTGAGACTGTTTGTAAACCTTGTGTACTGTTTTGACAGTATTAGCTCAAAAGATAACTTAGTCCAGTAATCAGGCGCTGTTTTAGTAGATGCAAATAATGCACTTTTGTGATTGCGAATTAGTGCAGTGTCCAGTGAGAGTAACTCTACCACTGAGTTAACACTGATGTGAATGTAGCCTATGTGGCGCTGCTCACGATACTACGATATTTCTTCAAAAGCAGATTGTGGAGACATTTTTATGGCCATATGGCACACCCCTAGTGCAAACAAACAATAATAAGTAAGCCAAGTTAACCCTGTGGCTCTCCTGCTTGACATTCACGACAGACTGTCACTGTAACACTGAAGAGTTAGGTAATGACTGGTATCGGTTAGCAATGACAAATGAAATTGTTGCAACAAAGTGACAGTGTTGCCAAATCTACAGTACAAGCAGGCTTATTATCATAAATGAAACCTAAAACCATAAAGAATATAGGTTTCATTTCAAAACAATTGCAGTAATAAACAATAACTGAAATAAAAGAAAAAAAAAAATCTAAAAAAATAAAAATACATATAGACTACATATATAAAGACACACACATATTCATCAAGGATACATTCAGTTCAAGTTCACGGGTAAAATATTCCTATTGTGTTCAATCACTCTTTCGAAAATACAATGTTCATTGTTAATTATTACTGAATTCAAAATTATTTGCATAAATCACATCTGAAGTTGAGATCCGAAAGAGATGAAAACTTTATGGCAGGTTCTGGCACACATCAAAGATTTATGTTAACTAATAGTTAATGCAGATACGCTCTAACTATAGCCCTTAACTCGAACTGTAACATTCTAAAAATGGGAGTTACTGCCATTGTCAAATGTGTGAATGAAATGGCCTTATTAAACAGCTAGTCCTTTGAGTGAACAAGGAAATGTAATTCCTACAATTTAGCTTGGCATGGAGCATATACAGGACGTAGGCTACATATTTCTCTTTCGATGATATATTATTCACTAGCAGATATACTAAAGCAGACAGTTCCCCCCTTGGCAAATTTTTTATTATTATTAATTTTATTTAGCAAGGATGCATTAAGAAACAAAAGTGACAGCAAAGACATTTATAATGGTACAAAAAAAATCAAATAAACGCTGTTCATTTGAACTTTCTATTCAACAAAGAATCCTGAAACAAAATTACAGTTTTGCACAAAAAACATTACAGTTTGCACAAAAATATTAAGCAGCACTGTTTTAAAAAGAGGTAATAATGAGCACCATATCAGCATATTAGAATGATTTCTGAAGGATCATGTGATACTGAAGACTGGAGAAATTATGCTGAAAATTCAGCTTTGCATCACAGGAATAAATTACATTTTAAAATACATTCAAATAGAAAACAGTTATTTTAAATAGGAATAATATTGTATTTCAATATTGACCCCCCCACCCCTTCAACCTCTGCAGCAATGCTGGCAGCACTAATACGTCTATTTCCCAAACACAACCTTTGGATATGACGCTAAGCACGAGCACTCAACTTTTTTGGTCAACCATGGCGAGGCCTGTTCCAAGTGGAACCTGTCCTGTTAAACCACTGTATGGTCTTGGCCACCGTGCTGCAGCTCAGTTTCAGGGTCTTGGCAATCGTCTTATAGCCTACGTCATCTTTATGTAGAGCAACGATTCTTTTTTTCAGATCCTCAGAGTTCTTTGCCATGAGGTGCCATGTTGAACTTCCAGTGACCAGTATTAGAGAGTGAGAGCGATAACACCAAATTTAACACACCTGCTCCCCATTCACACCTGAGACCTTGTAACACTAATGAGTCACATGACACCGGGGAGAGAAAATGGCTAATTGGGCCCAATTTGGACATTTTCACTTAGGGGTGTACTCACTTTTGTGGCCAGCGGTTTAGACATTAATGGTTATACAAGCTGTACACTCACTACTTTACATTGTAGCAAAGTGTCATTTCTTCAGTGTTGTCACATGAAAAGATATAATAAAATATTTTTAAAAATGTGAGGGGTGTACTCACTTCTGTGAGATACTGTATAAATATGAGCAGCAGAGCATGTGAGCGAAGCCGCTCCGCTTCGTTTTCCGCTCTATGGACGTGTGCTCCACTCAGTCGCTCTAACCGCCCAAGCAAGCGCTCCGTTAATATTCCGCTCACGCTCACCGTAAACCAATTCCCGCTCAGATCCCGCTCCGTTCTGTAAAGAACAAATTTGCGTGCATTATATTAGATTATACATTAATGCTGCCTATATCTAGCCTACATTCTGAAGGACTACCTATTGTTTCGGGTCATTTTAAAAATATATATATATATTAATAGGCCTAAGTGGTGTAGGCTAATATCTTCTGTACTCTGTAGTTCTGTATTTAGGCCTATATACAGCTGTGTGTTAGCTTAGGTCTACAGTTTAACTGAGATTATTTAATAACTACGGAGCTCCGAATATAATTCGAATTAACAATTTGTTTCTACGACGTCATCAGGTTTTATTATTTTTTAAATGTATTATTATTTATTAAATTTAAGCACTCTCCGCTCCGCTCACATGCTATGATGAGCAGTATTTCCTCTTTCATTCTTCCTTATAAACTCTTTACATCTACAGCATAGTCTTTCACTTGAGTTTCCTTGCTTCTTTTTCTTTAGATTGTGCTGTAATTTCATCCACTGTGGAAAATAAAAAATTAATACATTGCATTTTTTCACATGCTTCTACATCCACCTAATCATGCATTACTTCTGTATGATTCTCTCAATCACTTTCATGCAGGAGGCATCATGGGAACTCTGCAGCAATCATAGAGGAGCCCATTTGGAGAAATATGACCAATAGATGTTTCTCTTAACCAATCACTGAAGGTCTTTCTCCAGATTATTCTCATATGTGCCCAATAATGCAATATATGTAAGTAGCACACGTTCAGGACTGTGTCCACAAATGCACTCAATATACAATGTGTATTATAACGTGAATATGTATATATATTTATATTTTTAAATCTTAAGAATATAAAAGAGAAAAATGTTATGATGTATAATAAAGAAGCTGTTTTTCTCAAATCATGCTGGGGAACATAATCATCATCACACACCAAATACTGAGACATCATAAATTCATGTTCATTTTTTTTCTGTTCAGCTGTTCACTTAAACTGTTATATTTAACCAAGATTGCACTATATTATAAAAGAAGCATTTTCACAAGTGGACTCAGACTTCTGAACCCCACTGTTGGTTATGTATAGTTACAGAGCATATTTATTATTAATTTTTCCTCTCAAGCAAAATAAACTTGCTAGAAATGTTGTTACTGTATAATGGTTCTTACTTTCCAATAAAGATTTCTCTGCAACCATCTGACAAAATAGTAAATATGGCGTTGCAGGCTATTCATGTGACTTATTTGACTGTATTTACAATTTTAGATGGATATCTCATCTTGAAAGAATATGCTAAATGAATCAGTTTGCCGAGTCATTTTGTCCATACGACTGATTTGAGAATGAAATCACATCAATTAACACAGAGTGATAATCAGTGCAAACATTACAAAGTTCACTTAGGTATTATATTTTATAAGCTTATACTTCAGAGAATGAAAGCAGACTTTCACTGCTGTACTGTTTAAGCAGATGTAAATGCACCTCTGGCATTCTAAGATTCATTGCTATGTGTGCTTTGAAAAGTTATCCTGCTGCAATTTTGCTCATCTGATAATGATAATCATGAGAAACTGTTGATAGCATATTTGAAATGCTTTGCACGTCATTTTCTGGCAATTATTTGAATCTTGTGACTGGTTCACGGAAGGTGAGGTGGCACATGTTTGCATCACATGAATATGAATCTGATTATGCAAAAATTATATAATACTATCTTTGCGGTTTTGAAAATTGCTAATATGATGTACTGATCCAGTCATGGATCAAAAATATCAAAAATGACAAATGATAGCAATTAGATAGGAAATGTAAAAAAAAAAAAATTCAAGCCACAAAGCTATTCTTTTATTTAGCTGGATGTACTGTATATTAGGGACATAATTGTTTTATGGCTTCACTAGAACACTGTTCTTTCTTAAAAATAAAGGTATTTTATTTGCATTGATGGTTCTGTGAAGATCCTTTAACATTAATGGGACTTTTCCATTCCACAAAAGTTTATTTTAAGAACCGTTTACTGAAAGGTTCTTTGGGAAACCCAAAGCAGTTCTTCTATGGCATCGCTGCAAAACCCCTCTTTTATTTTAGAACCTCGCATACATCCCTGCTGCAAGCTATTTCATGCCGGTGTGGGGACAAAAAGTGCAACAAGTGAAAAGGGCATAAATCACCCCGATGCAAGAATGCATCTCAAGCATGTGCCTTTAAACAAGTTTGTCTATGATTGATGCGAGTGTGCACAGAAAGATGGTAAAGAATGAGAACTGTTGACAGTTGACCCAAAAAAAGTTGTGGAATGAAAAATTTTTTTGAAACTTTTTGGAAAAATGATGTTGGAAGGAAACAGGTTAAAGATTTACTGCCAATCATTTCATCAGTTCACATCTAGTTGCTAATCAGGATCTGAGAGTAAAATGAGGAAATTCAACATGTTTTCCTTTTCAAGGGGATTTTTCTCAATGTCCCTTTATGTTCCTTAATGAAAACAGGTTTGCTGCAATGCATATCAGCTGGATTCTAATCTAAGATCAATCTTTAAAAACTTTTTTTTAATTATTTGTCTAATTTTACTTTTATTAGCTTCTGAAATAATTTAAATATATATAGTATAATGTATATATAATAAATGTAAATACCCTAGTGAAAAATAAATATATTTCATGCTAAGTATACGTAACATTTTCATATTAATGTACTTACTAAAATGCCCTGCAACTGTACTTTTAGTACACTAAACTGGTATACTTCAAGTCTGCTAAATTTGAACAACTAATTTGTACTTAATGCACTTTAATTGTGCGGAAGTAGAGCTGATATTTGATCAGCATATTTGATTGTACTAAAGTGGAACTATTGCAAGTATACCACAGTTACACTTTAAAAATCTTGCATTTAAAGACCGATATTATTCAAAGATCATAAAATCCTCATCAATAGTGACATTAAAACACATTTTATGCTTAATAAAAAGAAATATGTATTGTGCACAAGTAGTACTCCAAATAAAGTTGAATTATAGTTTTTATATCAGTAAGTCTTGAGCGATATGTCAGTAAATATGTTAAAGGGGTCATATGATGTTGCTAAAAAGAACATTATTTTGTGTATTTGGTTGTAATGAAATGTGTTTATGCGGTTTAAGGTTCAAAAACACATTATTTTCCACATAATGTACATTATTGTTTCTCCTCTATGCCCCGCCTTTCTGAAACGCGTCGATTTTTACAAAGCTCATCGGTCTGAAAAGCAAGGTGTGCTCTGATTGGCTGGCTATCCAGTGCGTTGTGATTGGCTGAATACCTCAAGCATGTGACGGAAATGTTACGCCCCTACCATACTGTGATGGCGTGTCCCGGCACGACCAGACAAAACCAATAAAACCCATTATAAACGAGGCATTTGTTGCATCCAGTGGGGACATAATTACGGATTATAATGACTTATACTGTCTTTTTACGCGTTGCATCGCACCACGTAAACATAAAACCATGTCTAATGCAGAAAAGTGCATTTGTGATGGAGAAATGACAAACAACAAGCGCTACTCTACACTGCTCAAAACTCACGTTTGAATCATCAGTGGCAAATCCTTTAAATATGAATGCGTACTTACAGTCCGAGAGTCAGAACAGCCGACATTGTAGTCTACTCTCACAGGATCAGGAAACAGTCCTCCATAAAATGTGCTGCACACATCTGAATATTTGGGTTGAACTGTTCTGAAACAGTGTTGTAAATACAAATTAACCACTGATTTCTAGTTGTGTCCTCTTTTGGAAGGCCAAACAAAGTAGTTTCGCTTTCACAACGAAACACAGCGTCACACACGGAGGGCTTGAGTGAACGGCGGCTGGTGGATTCGACGAAGGAGCGGCCGGCGGGCTTGCGGCAACCACATGTGACGACCCCAGGCTAGACTCCGCTTCGTCCACGGTGAAAGCTGATCCAACGATCCACAGTGCAAAATTGATGCATTTCCTCAGCGACCAGCACGGATCAGCTCCAGGCATGATGAAGCGGATATCGTTCTCTTTTGGAAGGCCAAACAAAGTAGTTTCGCTTTCACAACGAAACACACAGCGTTTTCACGACATGACTACAGCGAGAATAAAAGTTACGCCTTCTTTCTTTGTGTGAACATTTGGGCGGAGTTATGCAAATCTTCCCACATCGTGACGTAGACATGTGGGGGCGTGTTAGAACGAGCCGTTTTAGGTAGGCGTGCTTAACTTTTATAAAGAATATCTCTTTGGATTTGAGACTTTAGTCTTTGCAACTTTACAGATCTTCTTTATGCACCAAGAGAAAGAGAACACTCCAAAGAGAAAGGAAAAATTTAAATCGCATCATATGACCCCTTTAATAGATTTGAACTGTACTTAGTACGTAATAAATATATTTTAAATATATCACTTTTTTACTAGGGTAGTTGGTTTAATATTTTGCTTCTGTTGAAAAAAAAAAGTGTCCAAATATTTCCTGCAGTTTGGCACAGCCACTGTTTTTAGAAGAAAAACTGTTTTTTCAAAGCAACAAAATGATGCTATTATTGCAGAGTGTGACTTTAAATATATGGTTGGATAAGTGTGGACAAGCACAATAAAAAAGGCAGACAACACAAGCAGTCTGTCCTGCGGCCAAAGGCCCGTCAAACAAACATGTCAACACTGCACCTCTTCACAGTCTGTCAAGCGCTACTAAATGAATGCTTGTAAACATGATGGATGGACTTATTTCCACACTTTTTTCAGCATGTCATTTCGAGAGCTAGTAAACAACTTCTCCTAAGAACGTAAACCATACCGCAATAGCCCAGACTTACATAATTTCATTCCAAGTCGTCTCTGTTTCTATTTGTAGTGACATATTTTCCGCTCACGTTACTATTAATGAGGCAAACAGGAGAACAGGTTCTATTTGTGGTTCTTTTTTCCTCATTGTTTGCAAATGAGTAAAACAATCCAACTGCTAACTGAAGATGAATCTGCAGGACTAGACAACGGCCAATGAGTAAGTTTTAATTTACGTCTGCTTTAAACCTCATCTGCCCAACAAAACCATATTGTCTAGCAATAACACTTCACATAAGAACAACCGTTTATCCAGACTGCAATGAGATTAAATGGAGATCAAAATGAGATGTTTACTTGAGTTTCTTCTGAGAAAGAGACCCAAGCAATCTAACACAAGATCTTAAAGGAAAAGTTCACTGATTTTTTTTAAAAGTCATTATTGACTTTTATTTTCTTCAGCGAAACACACACACACAAATGTATAGCCTATCTATATTTTGAGGAAAATCGGGGTCATAAAATACAGTGGACCTCATTTAAAAAAAATTTTAAATAAAAAATACTGTAAAATGGACATTTTTCATTTATGGGTGAACTACCGCTTTAATAATGTCTCAAATTGTGCTCGGATTTACTGCAATACCAAAGTCTGCTATGAAAAGTTAGAGATCTCAAAATCCATTCATGCATTTCTTTCAAATAAATTCTTCTGTCAGCAAATTCTGAGCCAAGTCATCTTAATCGTAATATTAAAGTTAAATTTGTATTCCTCCCAAGAAATTTTACACGGCTATATTTAATACTTTCTGTTAATGAGATATAACTGAGAATTCAACATCTGGTAATATGAAAGATTTTTTTAATGTTCGACGCAAATGCAATTAAAATTTCATTAGAGGTCAACTACAGTGTGTAATTGAGTGTTTATTTTTTTTATAGAAAACAGCACATTGCTGTGGAATGTAATGCCATTTAAACTTGGATGTTAAAAGGCATTAACAAGAAACATAATGACAAGGTTCTCCTGGGAAGAACAAACCTTGATGACTACATTTGAACGTAATAATTTCAGAGTAATTATCAGTGATATTTATGTTCTGAGGTTTTGGCATTTGTCTTCAGAACAAGAAGAACCAGTCCAACTTAACATTCCAAACAGGAAGACAGTCGAATAGACATTTCAGCGTTAAGAGGCCATGATTTCATTCAGGGGTTGAGAAACGGTGTGAAGACATCACAAAACGCTTCTGTGAAACAAACCGCTAAGGGCTGGATACTTAGCTTAACTTTCTCTGGATTACATTCTTCTCCAAATAGGATCTGTCCAGCAAACCATCATCCCACTGACATAAATCTGAAGAGACACAGGTAAGATTTGGGGTCAAATGTAGTGGTCAGTTAAAGGCTAGTACTCTCAAAAATGAAATTTTACTCACCCTTGTCGTTCCAAACCTGTATGACATTCTTTTTTCTGCCAGACACAAAAGAATATATTTTTTGTATTTATCATACAATGAACACCAGTAGTGTTTTAGACACCATAGGCTTTCATTGTATGAACAAATGCTACTTTTTGCAAGTTCTGGTTCTTTTTAAATCTCAGAAATGATTATATGCCGGGTTTAAATTGGGCCGGGCTCGTCCGGGGCTGAGTCCCGGTGTTCTGACAAATAATGCAACCTATCAGATTATGCTACCAACACTATATTTATCCTACTGTAAGGGTAGGTTTAGGGTTGGTGTAGGTGTACATGTTAATAAAGCCTCACACCGTATTAATTTCATGCTGGAAGCAAAATCTGATAGGTAGCACAAATCGTCAGAACACGGCACATAGATTCCGGGGCTCGACATTAACGCTTCATTAACGCCAGACAAGAAAGCACGCTGAGGTAAAAATTCACAATTAAACGTTTTTATATTTAAAATACTGTTAGTTAGGCAACATCGCGCAATGTTTTCACCATTATGACTGATTAATAGTTCAATAAACAGTAATGCAACAATATTAGGTCACTTACATATTAGGCCAGGGGTGTCCATTCCTGCTCCTGGAGGGCCGGTGTCCTGCAGAGTTTAGCTCCAGCCCTAATTAAACACACCTGAACCAGCTAATCAAGGTCTAACTAGGCATACTAGAAACTTTGTGACAGGTGTGTTGAGGCAAGTTGGATCTAAACTCTGCAGGACACCGGCCCTCCAGGTAAGCGTTTTGCTGTATGGGAGGACAAGTGAAAGTGTTCATAGCATCTGTTTGCCTTGTAGTACATTAAATAATAACTATATATCGAATTTTATTAGGCGGAACCACAGTGCAATGAGCGCATCTCACGAGAAGGGTCTAGCTGCAGCCTCGCACTTGCACTCTCAGACACTTGCGCTTCCGCTAGCGATGTCACTTGCAGGCTTTATTTTGTTCTATTTTTGATTAGTTTTTGTTTGAATCGCTCAACATTTTACAACAGTAGCCAGGTGGTGAAGACAAGAAAAAACAAACTAAATTACAATGTCACTTGAGGAGGAAAATGCTTAACGAGAGACTTTGTGCATTGCGTTCATATTCTGCAGTTCTGTGGCCACAGATTTGCGGGTCTTCGTCTTTTTCTTGCAGGACCCTGTATGTTATAGTACTAAATTAGTTTTAATCGTTTAATCACCACCACAGCGTCTTTGTCTCCATTGGCAACACGCACCATACTCGTTGAGCGTTTTCCTCCTGTAAAAAAAACAAACACTTAACATGGCTTAATGTATTAAGATGCTATTAAAATATCAAATTAAATATACAATTTATTAATATAATGAATATGTATATAGTATTTTCCTCCCATACCGCAAAACGTGGCATAATGTGGCATAATGGACTAAAAAGGCCAAACTCAATATGCTCCTCTACATTATTAATATACATAACTAATATGTACAGGCAAGCAGGTGAGCCCAGAATAAATGCAACACGCACAGTTTCAGTTTCCATATAGAATAAACTGTCTACAGCTGTTTTATATCATTGTCTTTGTCCATTAAGCTACATTACGTGTTTTATTTATAATGATTTTCTATAGGAGGAAAATGTTTAACGTGCAATTTAACGCATTGCGTTCTGGGCTCGTCTGCTTGCCTGTACGGAGTTGATCCTTTTAAAATCACTTAATGCATTTCATAATGCACGTTCATATTTGCTGTTCTGTATATACTTTGAGTCAACAACAAGACATATAGGCTACTGAATTGTCTTTGTCATCCGTTATTATGCCACGTTAAGCGTTTTTCTGTATGGGAGGACAAGTGAAAGTTTGCGCATTGTGTTCATACTAAATTAGTTTTAATCGTTTAATCACCACCACAGCGTCTTTGTCTCCATTGGCAACACGCACCATTTGTGTCGATTGCAAGTGACGTCGCAGGTATCGGAGAGCGCAAGTGGCGATTGCAGGTGACATTGTAATTTAGTTTGTTTTTTCTTGTCTTCACCACCTGTCTACTGTTGTAAAATGTTGAGCGATTCAAACAAAAAGTAATCAATAAATAGAACAAAAGAAAAAAAGAAAAGACTGCAAGTGACGTCGCTAGCGGAAGCGCAAGTGTCTGAGAGTGCAAGTCTGAGAATGCAAGTCTGAGAGTGCAAGTGCGAGGCTGCAGCTAGACCCTCTTGCATCTCACAGCAACCAGCCGATTCATTGCTGAATTGATTCAGTGTTCTGAACGAATTGGTCGAGTCAAAGTTTCATTAGCCCATGCATATAATAAGCCGTTTGAACGAATCGCTTGAATGAACAACTCAGTGACTCACTAATTAAACGCTCACTCCTGGCACCTACTGGCGTTTTAATTTAGTTTAAAAGTATCATTTCCACCATCATTTCTTGTTTGTATATTCCAAAAAAATATTTAAAACAATCTCATAACATTATTCAATGCAGTTGTATTTTTTCAGTGTAAATGATTTCATTTGATAACGTATAGATAACAATAATCACATTATTATAATTTAATTTATAGATTAAATGTAATAATTTGAAATGAAAAATGAAGTATTAATAAGGTTAGGGGGGAAATTCCCTCTATAAAGGTAAAAAATGCCCTTGGATTAAATATAAAAAACATGCAGATTTATGTCACAGCTGATAGAAAACCGATAAGAATATTGCTTCAGAATAAATCATTTCCCCAAAAAAATAAAAAATAAATAATTCACAAAGAGTGAAAAATTTAAGGGGGTCTGAATACTTTCCGTACCCACTGTATATATAAAAATAAAAGACCGACACCATAGAGCCCACGCACCCCACCCCACATATTAAATCCCAATTTAACCCGATTATAGGTATTGGTAATAGTAAACAAAATCCCACATGGTTGTGTTCAGTTGTTTACATAATAACTAAAGATGAATAGTAAGTATGAATGTGCTTGGAGTGAATGCTCATCATCAGCCATTGTCAGTGCTGGATTAGTGAGTTGTCGTCAATGAGACAAACTAATTGTTCGAGTCAAGTAATTGCTACTACAGCTTATTTAAAGCATTGATCGTTGTTTATAAATCACAGGGTTCATGCATATCATTTAAAGGCCTGAAATGTATATGCTCATGCATCATACTGAAGGGTTTAGAAAAAAACTATAAATGATCATAGTTTTGTGAGTCCACTACTGTTGTTGTTTTTTTTAACATGAGAAAGCAAGAAAGAAAGGAAAAACAGATAGCAAGAAAGAAAGCTGTATTTTGGTGATGCAAGTTGACTTTCCTAGCTTTCAATGCATCATTTAAATCATCTTAACGTACCTCGAGAAATAAGGAAACAACTAAACTGTATTCATGAATATATGCACCTGTAAAAACAAGTGAAAATCAAAGAGGAAGGAAATATGAGAACAGGTGTCATAAGGGCAGTTAACAATGAGAGATTCAATATTGCTGTCAAGCCGCATTTTCTACTCGTGCCGGATAAACATCATGTGCGTCAGGCACATTTAGATGAATTACGTCTGTGTGTAACAAGTCATGGTACACTGAGTGTTTCAGATAATCAAGTCATGAGTTTGAGATGTTCTTGATCTGTCGTGATTAGGATATTAATCTGCCCACACAAATTTTAGGCCAGGTGAAGGTTTGATCTGATGATAAAATGAGAACATTAGACTCATTATCTAACAACAACTCAGAGCTTTGTGAAGTTAACAGGTTAAGGATGGGTTGATGATAAAGTTAAATTAAAGGGTTGAAGATAAAGTTTATGCATCGTTTACTCTGTACAAGAACAATTTGTGAGTTATGTCAAATGGATTAGAATGGCAATAAGAGATAAATAAATAAGTGATATCATTTAAGGCACTCAAAAAATTATAGAAAATACATGAAGTGAAGAATAAAGATCTTATATAATTGTCTCTAAATAGGTCACTAAACACAAAACATGGTCTTATGGTAGCATGCATTCACAATGCAATCTTGAACAAGCTGATATTGTATTTCCAGGTCAGTATGATGGAGCAGGACGGCCCACAGGAGAAGAGATCAGAACAGGGAGAGGAGATGACAGAGGAGAGCTTCCTCAAAGACCTCTACCTCTTTATGAAACAAAGAGACACTCCGATTGAGAGAATACCTCATCTAGGCTTCAAACAGAGTGAGTGAGAAAGACAAGTGAATGCATGTCTGAAAGAAATGATTTCAAGGTATTAACATCCTTTTTTCCTTTTCAGTCGATATGTTCCTAATGTACAAGACAGTAAAGGAGCTAGGAGGCTATCAACAGGTAAAAAGACATTTACTGCGCACTGACCACGAAATGGTTTTTGACTATACTTCCATTCGGCATCTTTTTATATGTTTTTGATAGCATATTTTGACTGGCATTAAGATTAGTAACCTCAGATTACTGCCAAGAAAAATATTTTTTGTCACCAAAAATATTCACATCTTTTGTGCGTGATTTCCAGGTTACTGCACAGCAGTTGTGGAAAAAAGTTTACAACATGCTTGGAGGAAATCCGCGCAGCACTAGTGCAGCCACCTGCACTCGCAGACATTATGAAAAGTAAGCACATGTAACCCTAAACAGCAGCTGCTCGCATATAATAAAACAAACATGACTAATTATTTTAATACATTTTAGTCACAAAGCTCTTTTTGTCCAACCAGGCTGCTTCTTCCTTACGAGTGTCACCAAAATGGATACAGCGACGATATTGTCTTCAGGACCCCTCGATCGCAAAAACGCTTCCACCCCAGCAGTTACAGTGACTTTGAGCACGAATACCCCAGGAATGGTAAACATGCAGATTTCCGACACCTCCCGGCATTCCCTCAGGTATGGCATCTTAAAAACAGAACAAATGCTCTCAAAGATATAAACTCTCAGAAAAAAGGCACAAAAGCTGTCACTAGGGTGGTACCTTTTCGAAAGGTACAAATATGTGACCCTGGACCACAAAACCAGTCTTAAGTCGCTGGGGTATATTTGTAGCAATAGCCAAAAATACATTGTGTGGGTCAAAATTATTGATTTTTCTTTTATGCCAAAAATCATTAGGATATTAAGTAAAGATCATGTTCCATGAAGATATTTTTTGTAAATGTCCTACTGTAAATATATTCAAACTTAATTTTTGATTTGTAATATGCATTGCTAAGAAGTTCATTTGGACCACTTTAAAGGCGATTTTCTCAATATTTAGATTTTTTTTTGCACCCTCAGATTCCAGATTTTCAAATAGTTGCATCTCGGCCAAATATTGCACTATCCTAACAGCACATACATCAATGGAAAGCTTATTTATTCATCTTCCATATGATCTATAAATCTCAATTTCGAAAAATTGACCCTTATGACTGGTTTTTGGTCCAGGGTCACATATGTACTCTGAGGGTCCTAATATGCACCTTTAAGTTACTTCTACGCACTTTTTAGGGGTAAAAAAGGTGTACCTTTAGAAAGGTTACCACCCCAGTGACATCTTTTGTATCTTTTTTTTTTTTTAGAGTGTAGTAGAAATGCAAACTACAAAGTTTTACCAGAGTACTGAATTAATTGAATTCTACTCATCCTTCCCTCTCAAGCCCTCTCAGAACATGTTTACAGAGCATCAGAGACAGATGTTTAGCATGCCTTTGAACATTACTCCATACTTCCCACACGGCAGTACATCTCTACCCAATTATATGGCTCTTCGAGAATCAACACTGCCTCAACTGAGCCTGAGCCCTTCTCAAGACATTCCACGACCACCTGCTTCGTATATGGCAACGTCCTCTGTGGAGGTTCAGAGCTGCAACCAGTCACTTGATAGGCTACGCCACCTGGCTAAAGAGTACAAGTCATCAGCCGGCTGGGAGGAACCGCTCAACCTCAGCTGGAAAGAAAACAGACACGAGACATTGATTGACACGCCGTCATCTTTCAGCCCACCTTCAAAAAAGCCCAAGTTCCTCAACGAAACCTCACCTCTTTACCCTCCAAGGGATTTGATGTCAAAAGAAGGTGCAGAAAAGGGGGAAACAGTGGACAGAACTTCCACAGGAGAAGGAGGTGCAGGATCTGTCCGAGCAGGACTGAGTCCGGTGACGGCTGACATCATTGATCTCACTTCCTCCTCCACAGCCAATCCAGTCCCACGTAGGGCAAGCCCTCCTTCAGTGAACCTCTTCAACCGTAGATTGAACTACTCAGAAGCATTCGCTTTGAAAGCACGGAAGCGAGACTTGCATGCGGACTGGTTGAAGGAAGAATCTTCTTTTGCACCTGCATCTAAGTTAGGGATCCTAAACCGAAGCAATCCTCTTGGACACCCACCCGTAGATCCGAACGGCAATATGGAGATTCAGATTCCTCTAAAGCTTCTACAGGAGTTGATTAGGAGAGGACTGCTCTCCAACCCGGCATTTACGGCAAACAGCCCTGTGTCTCAAGACCCAATCAAAGCTGAAGCACAACCCGAGCACAAGTTCCAAATTCGATCACGTTCAGAAACATTCGAGAGCTCCACCACAAGCGAGGAACCGACCAATTTGAGTTTGAAAAGAAACCTTTCTGAATCTAACCCTCAAGAAAATGGTATGAGGAAGCTCAGATTCTTTGGTGGCAATGGCATCCCAGCAGAATCAAAGCTTCAGATGACCAATTCTTTTCATGTAAACAACTCTCTTAAGTTCTCTCTGGCAAGTGATGCACCAAGATCCTCTCCACCTAAACAGGCACAAGTTCCTACAACAAAGAACCAAGAGAGCATGATTCCCAGACCCCCCAGTTACAGTGAAGACACTCCACTCTCTTTGAAAATGAAGCCTGGAAGGAAGTCAGAGAAAGTGATGGGAACATCTAACAGTGTGGCAAAGGAAATCTCCACTTCCCCACCTTTGATGCAGGTGACGTCAGACAACCTCAAACTCCTTCTGGCAAGCCTGCCCTATAGACTGGAAAGGGGGCAGACATTTTGAGAATTTGCACACCTGATAAAACTCATCACCTCGGTCAATGCTGCAATCTTGCCAGATCAGCCTCTTGCGTTGCATTACTGAAGGACTTCTGAAAAAATGAACTGAAAAGAGAAATGTTGAGGATATGCAACTGTAGCATGAAAGCACTGTCCACTCTCAGTCAACATGTTAAATTAGACATGACAGATGCTTTTCTCTGATGAACCTTTTGTATAATATGCATATCATTTTGAAAAGGGTCAGCACAGGAAACACGTTGGTTTGCTTTTTAGTCTATAAATCTAATTGAATTGCGAGACTTTAAATAAGCAATGGTACATTTTTGTTAACTCAGTTTATGAGGAAGCAGATACTTTGGCAACAAAGCATAGACCTTTTTTGTAATTATTTGTTATTAAAATGTAAACATGTAAAATGGCTATATAAGCATGATCATTTTGTTACATTATTTTACAATTCTTCATATTTCAACTTTTTTTTTTTTTTACACAATAGTTCTTAATTTACATTTATATTTGCAAACTCACAATGACTTTAAAACATATAGATTAAGGATTTTGATTCTTTCCAGCTCCATAAGATATATATATATATATATATATATATATCATATACAGTATGTACTATATTTTGCCTTCTTTTGTACTAAATATGAAGCCTTGACATACAGTACCTTTGAATTTATAAGAATATGTTAGGTATATATCTTAACATTATGTTAAGATCTACTGTTGATACTTGAAAGACTTCAAGACGCTACGATGAAATATGAAAAAAAATGCTTTGGTTTAAAATTGTTCATTCGTACTGCGGACACATAAGCAATAAAACAAACACACAGCATGTACACGCATGCAAATACACAGCCATAAACAAGAAGTGATGGGGATTTCCAATCGTTCATTTTATTATCATGGTACTATTAACACATAATTGTCATATAAATAATGAAACAACAGATTTGTACCTATATTCCAACTACAGTCTGTTCAGAAAGAGCAGGAACAAAGATTCCATGAAGCAATGTGACATCTTTTTCATGGACACAATGGTGGCAGGTGGCTTCTCCTTGGATTTGAACCTACAACCTTTGGGTTACCACCAGCCAAATTATTAGCCAATGAGTCACATCACCTCATATTACATAAGTGAATAATACTTTTGGTAGTACTGCTGAATTATTAATATAAACAGCCTTAACTTCTAAAACAATTGCTAAAAGGGTTACAAATCTTACAATAAGACAAATCAGTCAACAATTTTAGCTTGCTATTCAAAACAATGTTCTCAGAAAGGAACAGTATCAGTGAAAATATTTAATCAATGCATTCCATTTCTTATGTAATACAAACTACAGTAAGTCAAGATGCTGTAGGGCTTACCCTTCCAGCTATCACTGACAACTTGACACTGATCTTGATACATCTAAAATTAAAATTCAGGTAAGGTTTAGAGATGAGGGCTATATTCATAACGATTTGAAACGGTGTTGGTTGGTTGGCTGTTTGACTGATTTGTATTAAGAGAAGATAAGGATCATTTGAATTTAATATCTGTTTTAAATCATTTAAAGGTTTGGCATGAAACTTGAGTTGCTCAATTTGTACCACTTGAGGAATTACTATGACTGAAAAAACAACAAAAACAAAAACAAACTGTCAAACTCTTGTCATGCAGGATTTCCATAGCTTGTAGCAAGTAAAAATGGTTCCAGTCAATTTTAAAGGTGAGTGATTTAAATCCAGTGACAGGATCAAGTTACACTTGCCAATACAGGCTTGTAGAATCAAACATAAAGAGCCAGACCTTTACAGAGCATTGAAAAAGAAATTTGCCCTAAAAAAGAGAGAAAATACCATGCTGTACATGCATATGCATACGCTGATATACTTTTTAATAGATTTTGATACATGTTTTTCAGTCCTTAACAACTGTATACTGGGAATTTACTAAACAGCTCTTTGGAATGCTACCTGATCAATTTACCTTTCCATAATTACACTAAACTGTATAATTAGCTGTTGTTCCTGGCAAACAAATTCCTACGCAGGTGCGCTGGTTTATTGTCTCTTGTAACACTATTAATTCTCACATGATTTTAAGTCAAAGTTTCTTTATTATTATACATTTATTTATATGGTAAGTAGCTAAAAAGTGGGAAACTGTCATGTAATATTAGGGTCAATTTTTTGATAATGACAATCAGAGTTTTAAGCCAATACGGTATTTTGTACATGGGTGTGCATGTTGGATTTAGCAAACAAATATGAAAAAATAAATCTAAATTAAGTTTTCCCAAAAAAAGATTTGTGTGTGCTGTAATATACTGGGTGTGTTGAGCTGTGCACAAAACAGGTTTTCTCTTTAGTTTTCATGTTCGATCCTTCAGTAACTGAAACAAAGAAGCAGAGGGAGAGGAGTGTGAACAAACAAATGAATTACAAACATGTTTTGATTCTACTGTGGTGTGGCACATTTTTACGTCTTTAATTCTGGGAAAGTCTAAACTGGTAGAGTGACTCTGTGAGACTGTGGAATTGCAGCCACAAATCATATATAAAAAAATTTATGTAATCTATGGCATTCGCATGTATACGTGCATGTTCGTGCCTCCAAAACTATGAATACATTCTAATGCATAAAATGTCTTAAAATATAATGCAACTTTTTTTCTTTGAATGTGCTTTGATGATGACGTGTATCCAAAATTCTTTTGTAATCTGCACATAAAGTCAATGGAGAATGAATCACGCACAGTGCAGTATTAAAACATGATTTAAGCAACAAATCAATTAATGCAATCAGCCTCAAGCCAGATTCCACAGAGCAATTAAAGTTCAGTTACAGAGAATGAATGTTTGTTTACAAAACTATACACCACAGTTATCAATAGGTTTGGCTCATCCTAAGCAATATAATTAACAGGAAATGTATGACTATTTTTGCACTGCTGGGGTCAATCGTGTTTTTTCATGCTGTCTTTCATAGTCAAAACTGAGATTGACCAATTCATTGTTTTTGCAGATTAACAGCTTTTGTAATTTGGATAAAAGAGCATTAAAGTCAAGATTAAATCAAACTTGACCCTGTTTACTTTCTTAATAAAAGTTCCTGACATTATGAATGATTTTTTTCATTTTTTAAAATGTAAAAACTTTCTTTGAATATCCTGTTTCACTTGTGGGGGAAAAAATCATATTATGGAAGTAAACTGGATTACATGTTTGGTTCATGTTGACCATTTGCAGTACAGGCCACTGAAGTCAGCATAATTAGTGACTAGTTGTTCACAGTTGTAACGGTCACAGTTCACTGGTTGTGTAACAATTGTAGGCCTAGTTAAAGTTGCAATTTCATTTTGTGTATTTGGTGTAATGAAATGCGTTTATGCGGTTTAAGGTTCAAAAACACATTATTTTCCACATACTGTACATTATTGTTACTCCTCTATGCCGAGCCTTTCTGAAGCATGTCGATTTTTACAAAACTCATCAGTCTGAAAAAGCGAGGTGTGCTCTGATTGGCCAGCTATCCAGTGCGTTGTGATTGGCCGAATTCCTCAAGCGTGTGACGGAAATGTTACGTCCGTTACCATATTGAGATGCCTGCGGCAACCACATGTGACGACCCCGGGCTGGACTCTGCTTCATCCACGGTGAAAGCCGATCCGGCGATCGACAGCGCGAAGTTGAAATATTTCCTTAGCGACCAGCACAGATCAGCTCCAGGCATGACGAAGCGATATCGTCCTCTTTTGGAAGGCCAAACAAAGTAGTTTCGCTTTCACAATGAAGCACACAGCGCCTTCACGACATGGCGGCGGCAACAACACTACAGCGAGAATAAAAGTTACGCCTTCTTTCTTTGCATGAACATTTGGGCGGCGTTATGCAAATCTTCCCAGATAGGGACGTAGGTATGTGGGGGCGTGTTAGAACGAGCCGTTTTAGGTAGGTGTGGCTGACTCTTAACTTTTATAAAGAATAACTCTTTGGATTTGAGACTTTAGTCTTTGCAACTTTACAGATCTTCTTTATGCACCAAGAGCTTGTAACACTCCAAAGAGAAAGGAAAAATTTAAATTGCATCATATGACCCCATTAATGTTAATTTATTTGAAATAGAAATCTTATGTAACATTATAAAATGCCCCTCTCAAAAAAACCCAAACTGATAAAATGTGCTTTTCGTGGCTCAGAAACATTCATAACAACTCCAGACTCAGATCAAGAACGCTCAACACGATGACCGAAAAATACAAGGTCATGTTATATTTATCTGCAACTTCCTCATGCTACAGCACATGCACGCTAACACAGCTTTTCCGGTTGGACTGAGGCACATGTGTAGACATGTGTAGAAACACCCACACACAACCACAAACACCCACACACTGCACATAGTAATTAACAGATACTGGCAGGTGGTGGCTGCGGGAATGTGACACATCTACACCGGCAGCCAGCCGTTCTTGGCTGAGAATTCACATTCCCCAATTCCACTCAGTCTTCTCGATCTACCCTTTAGGTAAAATGACTGGCAATAGTATGACAGGAGCAAACTGGCACAAGGCAACAACAGACTGCTGTGGGCATTATGGAAATGGCACAGTCCGATAGGTCTAGCTCAAGCTGACCTGGTGACATCATTGTCACATGGCAGCTGATTGGTTCTCTCCTGTATCGGTAGCCAATGAGCTCGTTGCCCAATATTCAATTACCTGGCTTTTGTTTGCTGTAACAGTTGGCAGCGCACTTCAGAAACCCTCCACCTTCCCCAGCTCCACCTGTATAGATCTGCTACGGGGTGATTCATGTATGTTATATGTGCAGCAGCAGTATTTCTTACATGCTTACAGCAGCATGTTGTGGATGTATTGGCAGTAGCAAGTCTCGGTACTTGCTCTGCCGCAGCAGCATAGCAGATCTATTCCGCCAAGACCAAATACATTAACATTGTCATGTACATTACCATGTCAATCCCTCCGAGAGTTGTCATGACAGAACTCTGTTCATCAGGTTGTGTTTGTCAGATGTGAAAAAGGAAACTAATACATCCAAGTCCATGATCATTAGGGGAAATGCTTTTTTCTTCTTTTGTCATTGCTAATTAATTATATTATCAGCAGAAAATTTCAGTTGAACCGAAAAATAAACATGAATTTGGGAATGTTTTTTTTAAGAATCTGGTATGTCCTTTTAATTTACTAAGCACTAACATGAACATGTAAAACCAGACAGTCATGTTATCCATGTTATGATTTGAGAACAAACCTCTTTCGTTCAATCTGTCTTCCTCGGTTACTAATCTTTTATTAGTAACCTAGAAATAATGCTCAATGCAAATAATGAATCTTAGATCTGTCCTAATCATTTTGTGTCAAAACATTTCTTTGCTTTAATCGTTCTAAAATCCTAAAACTCTTTTTTTCAGGTTTAAAATATGATTTTGAATCCCAGATTCAAATGTGGACACCACTGTGTATGTCTTGTATGACACTGAGTGCAGAGCCAACCAGGATTATATAAACTAACTGTTCCCTCCTGGTGGAATGACCTGCCCAAATCAATCCGAGCAGCTGAGTCCTTAACCATCTTCAAGAAACGACAAAAACACATCTGTTCCACCTTTATTTGACCCTCTAACTCTAGCACTTTCTATTCTATTTTAATTCTACTTTATCTATATCTTTTTTTATCATAAAAAAAAACACTTTCTATTTTTTCTATCTACTTGTTTTTCTGTGTGTGTGTGTGTGTATATATATATATATATATATATATATATATATATATA